CCCCAAAACCCCAAAACCCCAAAACCCCGAGAGGTCTTTGCCAATTTCTTTAAGTAGAATAAATTTGAAGGTAATAGATTTATGAAATTAAATAATGTTATTTTGAAATATTTTTGTTAAAAATAGGGCATATATATCTCAGAATATCTTCTCTCTATTCAATTCATTATTTAGAAGAGATATTGTCTTTATAATAAAAAGAGCAGTCCTTACAATACCATTTTCGTTTTGACCTGCATTTTTAGCATCTTATAGTATCAGAACAGTGCTTTATCTCAAATTTGGTATTATTACCGCAACCTGCACAGTATAGTTACAATCCAGTTTTATATCTGCACCATTTAATCTCAGATGAGTTATTTTGATTTTTTCTTGCTTTAGAATTATTTTTGCATGAATAATTTTGATTTAAACTTTACTTTTTATCTACCTATTTTTTTGCTTCTTCATTGTTATCTTTATCTGAATTTACCCAACCTAATTAATTAAGACTGGATCTTTTTTGATCAAGCTAAGTTGAGACCTGATTATAGCCAGATGTAAGATCTCGTTGTCTTTTGCCTAGAAGAATGCTTGATTAAGCATATCTATTATCTTGAGAAAACTACTAAAGAATTAGAGTTTAAAATTCTATATCAATGCTAGAAAGATCAACAAGCTCTTCTTCTTATTTGATTTATACATTTTCATTCATTGATCTACAATTGTAGACTTAAGTTAATTAGTTTTACTATTATTCTTAATTTTGCTAGCTTGGCTCTTACATTTCTTCATTCTCTTGAATTAAGTCTTAAAGTTCTAAGTCCAAATTAGTTTAGCTTAATACATTTTCAATTATCTGATGATCCAGAGGTTTTTCCACATAATTAGCTTCTAAATCCAAGAAAGATTATGATTACTCATTTGATAACTCTTACTTTTCATTATATTTTTCTTCCTCATTAACTTTTGATTAATTTTTCTAATCAAATATAGATTTTAGTGAATCGTCATTATGGACCTCATAGATTGCAATTGCAATTTCTTTTATGTAATTTTTTAGTTGCTCTATTGGTAACTTATACCACTCAGTGTATCCATTTTCTTTACTATCTTTTCTATTATTAAACCTAACAAGTCTCTTTTTTATCATATCTTCAAAAAACTTGTAATATTTTGACTCATACTTTTCAATCAATTCATATTCTTTATTATTATTCTTGTAGAGATATGCCATTCTTAAGTTAACATCCTCACTATAACCAACTTTATAAATATCGGTTCCAACTTCGTCTAATTATTAAAGGATGTAGACGTAACCAGGCTGAATTGGTTACTATATTGGGATCTTTTCAAAGAAAATTTCCCAGAATTATCTATCTTATAGAGGAAGATTTTTTTGTATCATATACTCCTATGCAGAACTAATATTTGGCCATTCTTAAAGTCTCATATCTCTACAAGTGCAAGCATATTTGCTTCGAGAGTAGTGCCCATTTTAATGATCTTTTTGCACTCCAACTTTGCTAAAGTTGGATCTTAATGAGTTTTTACTTATATTTGGTTTGAAAATTGACTAAGCATCAATATAATTTTATGAATGACTTCCAAAAGTAAATTCTTTAGCACCCTTATTCTTTTATTATAAAAACCTTTCATCATCAGAATCAGATCTCTCTCCAGTTTTATCTTCAGTATCAAGTTCCATCAAATTATTCAATTTATCATTAGATTTGAAGTCGTGAGCACTACACTTTTGCAATTTTTGAATGTAGTTATTTACTTGTTCAATCTGTACTTAAGATAATGTAAAGATTTAGTCTACTATTTCAACTGTTTTCTTATTACTTACTATTTAATTAAAATGATCCTTAAACTTTCCCTTTGAGTATAAGTAGAATATCAAATCACTTCTGATTTTCTCATAGCCTTAAAATAAAATGTCCTAAAGCAAGTTTTATTTTGCACTATCATAAACATCCTCAAAAATTTCAATAATCTCCAAATTTTATTCTTTCAACTCGGCTATCTCATTAATCATACAAAGATATTTCATTACTTTGCTAGATAATTGTTCTAGGGAGAACTCAGCAAAACTTATTAGTCTCTTGTTTTATAAGACAATTTTATTGAGAGATTTATCTAAAAGTACAGTCTTCAGCTTGTGTTGAATTTTGAGGATTACTATTTTCTTTAACTTTTCAACTTTACTTTTAGATAATTTCTATTCCTCCTCATTAAAAGTTGTATCAATTTAAAGGACCTAAGAGTATTTAATGAATTCTCCTTCTTGATTAAGGTAAGAGTATTAATCCAAAGTGGTATCTTCATTTACTGGAATACTTCTAGCAAAATCAAAAAGCAAATAGTAATAGTCCCTTATCCATTTTGAAGTTCTCCCTTTTAAAACTGCCTCTAAAGATTGAACTGTTCTTTGCTATTCAAGAAACTCATTTAGCTTTTTAAATACATTTTTATCAATCAATTGAAAAATCTTTTCAGAGTAGTTTTCAACTAGACAAATCTCATTTATGCTTAATAACTTGAAGTCTCTAAGACTTTAGACTAAATTGATTAATCTCTTTCTATACTTGATCAATTCTTAAATTTTTTTATTTTCATCTTATTAATCTGCATCAACCCAATTTTCATTACTCATTTTTTCAAGTTTATTAATATCCGGAACCAGACTGAAGAATTCTTTTTAAATTTTATCAAACTAATTTTTATCATTAGGCGATAAGCAAAAGCTAGGATCCCCATTAATACATGTCTGCTTACCTTTTAAAACTTCTATTATAAGTTTTTCTATATCGCAGAAACTTAACTTTCTAAAATCTAAACACTATTGATTGATATCTTTGTGAAGAAATTTGCTTTTTAAATTTAGTCCAAGTCTTTACAGAATATTTACATATGTGTCTTCGATATCGAAATTCTCATAGAGTTGTTAACTATTATGAAATTCACCATGCTCATTTGGAAAAATTTTCTTATGAGATGTAATTGCAATGATTCTATCTAGAGTGCAGTTCCTCTTAATGTAACTATATACATCATTTAACCAATTTATTGTCTTGGCTTTATCGTTACTAAAATTTGAGTAAGCAATGTCAGTTATAGTGCTTGCCTCTTAAATTATTTGAAGCACCTGAGAAATGTCATAAATATTTGAAGGTTATAGCAGCTAAACCCCTTCTAATGATTAGTTTAAAGTCAGTATTGTTTGGATTACTTTCTAATTTTTCTCAACTAAATTTGATTGTTTGAGCTCATCAATAAGATTATAAAGCTCCATCAGAGAGTTTTAATTGAGTGATTCGTATAGATTATGAATTGCAGGAACGATGATTTGACTTGGTGAGACTTTGAAAGAGTTGCGGTCTAAGAATATTCTCTTAGTCCTAATCATCATTATCATCGGCTTTATTAGATTTTCCATGTACAATCCATAATTTTAGTTCTCTTTTGAAATATGGATATATGCAAGATTATATAGGTCTAGATATTACTTATCTATCAAGTAATCCATTAGTGATGCATAAATTTCAATAGATAAGTTCAAAAGCAATTGATTACCAAAAGCCGAGTCATCATGCTCAACAATCAAGCCAGATCTTTCTTCATTCGTAATAAAATTGCTTGAATTCAAATAGAATGGAAGTCTAAGATCATGATTGGCTATCAATGGAAAATTATTAAAGATGCTTTTAGCGCCTAAATTTATATCAGGCAATCTTTTATTGATTCCTTCAATCTCATACTTCACAAGTATTTATACTCCTTGGTCTTCACACAATAAGTAGAAGACTTACTACAGACCCTCTTATACATAGACTTTTAGAATATACTCATTTAATCTCTCAATTTAAGTAATCTCATAAACTTCTTCTCCAATTTTAATGGATTGTATTTAAGGGTTGAAAATTAGAACTTGACCCGCATGGTCTCTCAAACTTTAAAGCCCTATCTGTGCTACTCTTTGGCTATCAGCTGATTCTAGTTTAAATCTAAATTTAGTGTCACAGGAATTTTCTCTATTCTGAGCCTCAACAAATGGATATTCTTTATCATCATTTTATATCATTTAAAACTTTTAGACTACCTTCTTGTACTAAGAAATCAGTTCACTTAGGTTATCTGATGACCTATCTAGAACTATTCTAAAGTACTTAAGCTACTTCTGGAAATCATTATTCTCCAATGATTAGTTACATTGAAATAATCCTGAAATAGTAATTATTCTAGATAGCATATGTGTAGTTAGAAATCCAGTTCCAAATTTACCAATACTACTACCTTGAATACCGCAATTGTCAGAAACTCTATTCTGATCAGAATTAGATTATTGTTAAAATCCGTTGTGATCTTTTCGTTCTCTATCTTTCCCAGATGTCTAGCGGGTCAAATAGACCAAATCTCTCATTGTAAATGGTCTTCCTGAATGTCTAAACTCTAAGAAGTTCTTTTGACACTCAATCTCTATTGACAGCTTTTTATCTGGAATCGCGCAATCTTTAGCATTTTGTATTAACTCCCATATCCATCTCTAAGATGATCGTTCAAAATCAAAATTAAGCTTAGATATACCATCAATAATTTTTGAGGCAATCTCTTTAAGTGATGCTTCAAAGAAGAAGTCCTTTATCTCTTCTTAATGATTTCTTTGCGTTGCTTATTCTGAAGTCAAACTTTCCATATAGTTAAAATTTAAAGTATTTTAATTTAAAATCATTACCACAAGAATATATAGCGAATTTGTTGGAAATTAAACATGCCGGGGTTTTGGGGTTTTGGGGAGTCATCTCTTTC